CCTCAGAGACTCGCCAGCTGAAGGGACACTAGCCTCTTGCAGGCGACAGGGGCCCTCTGAGCTCAGCGAGGGTCCTTCCAGCCCCGAGGCAGAGACACCTTCCAAAGCTAGAAAGTTGGGAACCCCTTGTCTTCTCTTCTGGCCTTCCCTGTCCCTGTGTCCCGGGAGCCTGCATGGTATCGTGGTTACCAGTTGGGCTGCTAACCAAAAAGTCAGCAGTTCGAAACCAGCAGCAGCTCTTTGGGAGGAAGACGGGGCTTTCTGCTTCCGTAAAAAGTTCCAATCTGGGAAACACACAGGGCCAGCTCTGCCCTGTCCTGCCGGGCCACTGAGAGTAGTTGGTTGCTAGAGGGTTACGTTAGACTTGTGCTGTGTTCTAACCTCTCCTTCCCTCCCCCTCTCTCTCCAACCTCACGTGCGAACTTCCCAGTTGGCTGAGGAAGCAGATTTATTCCGTGGACCAAACCAGAAGGAACAGGTGAGACAGCTTCATGTTTTTTTTTCACCACTTGGGTCTCAGATGCTTCTTTGTAGCCAAGCCCGCATGGCAGAAACGGGCACAGCAGGGGAGGGGGGACCCTTCTTCCTGGCAGAAAAGTTGTCGAAGCGAGCAGGCACCCGTAGGAGGGAACACACTCACACCCGCAGGAACGAGGCAGTCCGTCAACCTGCAGCTCTGACAGGTCTCGCTGTGCCCGCTCAGCCTTCCCAGGGGGCCGGAGTATGGACACGGTCCTCCCAAGATCAGGTCTGACGAGGTGGGTGGGGGGACGGAGTGCAGGCACTGTGCTGGGTGCTGGGCTGGCAGTTTGCAAATTCCGCTCTTTTTTTTTTTTCATTAAAAACCTTCTGTGGTGATTTGGGTGCAAACTGACAGAGCAAACGGGGTTTCCAGCCAGCGATTCAAACGTGCCTGTAGTCCCCACGGCCACATAACGGCACAGGCCCCGCTCCTACTCTGTGTCTCCCCTTTGGGGTTATCCTTCTTCCCTCGTCCGTCCTGCCTTCCAGCTCTCTCCCCGGGCAGCTGCTACCCTCGATTCGGTTGTTCTAAAGTGTGTGGACTCCTGGCGTTACTGGCCACCTGTGTACGGTCCTTGTACTGAGGCCATCGAGGCCATTCTGACTTAAAGAAGCCCCTGGCTGCCTTAGTTGGCTGCCAACAGCAAGGTCAGCAGTTGGAAACCACCAGCCGCTCTGCAGGAGAAAGACGAGGCTTTCTGGGTTACAATCTGGGAAACCCACGGGGGCAATTCTACTGCGCCGTGCAGGGTCGCTTGTCCATGATTCAGCCCAAAGTTGAGGTGCAGGGGGAAGGGAGGGGAGGTGAGTTCATGCCTGGAGAGGGTGACGGAGGGCCATAGCCTCTAGGTGCCAACCCATTAACCTGGTCAATTTTGAAACTCTATGCTCTTAGGGAGCCCCTGTTGTACGGTCACTCAGGTCCAGCTGCAGAAGCCCTGTCTGAGCCTCGCCACACTAGGAACCCTGCCCCCCGCTTCATCTTGCCACAGATATTTCACGACCTTCATGTCCCAAGTTCACCAGAGGATGCCTGCCCCCTGGGGTTTACTGGGCAGTAGGAGCAAGGTTGGCCCTGATTGGAAGATGGCTGTAGACCCCAGGGCACCGTGAGACTAGATAACCGAGCCTCCTGGCCCTTTTCCCTGTCGCAGCAGGTCTTGGGTGGGGTGGGGCGACATCCCCCTGCGTCCTCAGAGCTCCACACCAGGCCTCTTTGACAGGCGTGTGTGTTCCCTGGCTGACTGTGGTGCCCAGTCTGACACCACATCCTTAACCTTCGGCTGCAGGGCTGTGCCCACGCCCCTCCTGCGTCGTCATCGGGACGAGCTGCTGCGAGGAGCACCCGTGAGCTCGCCGCTTCCTAAGCTCCCGCGAAGACCCAAGTAACCTTCGTGGAAGTGGAGTTCCAGCCCCAGGGGGTGTGCGGGCCGGGTCTCAGCAAATGTGGGGCACCTGATGCTTGTGGAGCATAGCTAGCACCCCCAGATGTCTTCCACCTTTGTTAATTGGGGTGTGTGTCTGTTAAACTTTTCTTCCTCTGTCAGCGAGGCTGAGCCCCCCAGCACTCATTCTTGCTGGAGCTGATGAGGAGGTTCCAAAGAGCTTGTGTGGAAAACGGGGGGCAGGTCTTGGCATTTCTCACCCCCTTTCTGAAGCCCCACTCTTGCACCATGTTGTATGTCCCAGAGGTCAGCAAGGGAAGCACGGGCTGGTGTGTGCTTGTTCAGCTACTTGTGGTGAACAGTTGTCATGTTTCTTAATCACGTCCGAGATTCTTCTTAGGCCATGATGGCATCTGCTCCCCTCTAATCTCCACAGCACCTCCCGACAGAGTCAAAGCCTCTTTTCAAAGGGACAGTCCCTGGCAGGGGTGGGGGACTCGGGAAACGAGTAAGCACGAGCTGACCTGTGCTTGCTGACTTAGCTGTAGTGAACAGTTTCTCCTGGGTCTGCCTGAAGCCCTTCTGAAACCACACGAGTCAGTAAGCACACATCAGTCAGCCTGTGTTCAGAGGGTGACAGACGTGCAGCTGTGGTACAGGAGGCCTGGGCCTAGCAGGGGTGAGAGGCACATGGAGGGACCTCTGTCACCCTGCACGCACAGGCTGACTGACGTGGGCTTACCTGACTGGGCCGAAGCTGACAGTTTCATATGTCTGTGTGTGTGTGCCTTTTATGCGGCATCTGAGATACGGTGAAACCCATATACTGTAAAATTGTTCACCATGGGTTGGTAGGTGAACACGGTGGTGTAGTGGGTTAGGCATTGGGCTGAGAACCCACAGGTCAGTGGTTCAAGCCCACATGTTGCTCTGGGGAAGAAAGCTGAGGCAGTCCAGCTCCCGTAAGGATTATTACGGCCTGGGAAACCCTGCGGGGCAGTTCTGCTGTGTCCTACAGGATGGGATGGACTGGGGAGCAGTGGGCGGCTACCTGGGTAAAACCTGCCCGTTACCTGAATCTGACAGACTCCTCCTTATTTTACGGGCAGTCTCTCCATCTTCAGGGTGGCTTTGCATTTGGCCAGTACCCTCCCTCACTAGTCGCTGGCGGAGTTTGGTGGGACCCTGACCGATGACTTCTCCGTACCCCATCACTGACATAGTGTGCCAGCCTTGAGTTCTCTCTATGGGGGGCTCCAAGTGTGCTAACTGGTTAAGTCAGCTCAGGGCACTTGATCCTGCCAGTCTACTGCATCCTCCCTCCTCCTCCACCTCTTCCTCCTCCCACCAAACCTTCCCTCCTCTTGCTGCACCCGGGCCTCACTCATGGGTCAGACGAGGTCCCTGCGCCTGGACGGTGCCTCACACCCTAAGCTGCTTCAGCGCCAACAGAGCCACTCCCTCTGCCTTCCTTCCCTCTGTGGTTGTGGTGACTCATGGTTGAGTTTGGCACTGTGATGGCAGCCGGAGCCACGCTGGGCGAGCTGGTACTAGGGTCGTCTGGTGTTTCCCTCATCTCCCATCAGGCAACGGGAATTGCCCTCTGGCTCGGGGCAAGTTCTTGCGACTTCCCACGGGCTGCCCAGAGCTTTCTGCAGACAGCGAGCCCTGGCCCCCTCCCTGCCGGCGGAGCCCTGCTGCTCTGTCAACGGGTGGAAAAAATCCCACCTTCCCCGTGCTTCTGTGGGGGCCCGGGAGGGATTCTTCCAAAGGAACTCGGCCCAGGTGCCAGGGACAGAGCACCCAGCTTCTGCCAGCCTCCCTCCCTTCCTGTCGCCCACGGCTAAGCGTGTTTCCTGAAGGGAGACAAAGGCTCGACAGAGCGAAGGGAAGACGCAGGCGGCAGCAGGCCTGCTGGCTGTGACCCGGTCCCAGGTGTTGACCTTGGCCCCAGTGCCCCCCTCCCACCCCCTTCACCTTCCAGCCTCTAGAGGCAAATATGGCGGCCACCCCTGCTGGCTGGGGATGCATGCACTCTACAGCAGACACGGCTCCCGTTTCGTGCTTGGCGTTACGGGGTGCAAGCGACAGGCTTAGTCGCAGACCCGTGTGATTGATGCAGGAGCAGACTGAGGCCCAGAGAAGCTTCCGCAGCAGCCCAGCCTTCTGGGCAGGGAGGACTTCGGGGCCGAAAGGCACACCTCTCACATTGTTATTTTTCCTTATTTTTTTTTTAAAGAATAGTTTTATTGGCATACACTTTCCATGTTATATAATCTAGTTGTTCAAGCGTATGAGGACTTGTGCCATTGTCATCACAGTCTGTTTCATGACCTTTTCTTCTGACTCATTGTTAGCCTCCCCCCCACCCCCCACTCCTCCCCTACCATACCCCTATCCAGTTGTTGTCCCCATAGGCCTACCTGTTCTGGATTCCAGATACAGAAAATGCACATTTCGTACAATGCAAAACACCATCCTACAAAACCGCACAAAGCTCACAGCAATGATTTTGCTCATGATTTTTAAATGGCGCTATGAAGGGTGGCGCTGTGGGTGACGGGTTGGGTTGCTGACCAGTCTAGTCCAGCTGTTCAAACCCCCC